AAAAACTTCAATATAATTATTTGATTAATTGAATTAGTACTAAGCTCTGTTCCATCTTCAAGCGAACAGAGCTTAGTACTTTAATTCTTTAAATAATTATATTTATGCTCTACTTTTTGTATCGAGCACTATTTTAAAATAACAAAAATACTAAAGAACTTTTGGATTATTTACCTAACGAGTTCTTTCCTATTTTCTATATATTTACACACACACACACACACACACACACACACACACATATATATATATATATATATATATATATATATATAAAGAAATATAATTATGGGATAAAGTGCTATAATTATGGGATAAAGTGTTATATATATAGATAGATATATATATATATATATATATATATGTGTGTGTGTGTATGTATGTGTGTGTGTGTATATACTGATTCCATGTAACTTGGGAAGTATGTGTATGCACGTATGTGTGTATGTGTGTGTGTATGTACTGATTCCTTGTAATGGGACGGTATGTGTGTGTGTGTGTTTGTGCTTGTGTGTGTGTGTGTGTGTGTGTGTATGTGTGTGTGTGTGTACAGATGAGTTCACTGATTTCTCGTAGTGAGACAATGTGTATGCATGGAGAGGGAATATACTCATATATGCGGATCAAAAAAGAAACAATTTACTACGACGAATCACAGTGTGAGATATCTAATAACATAAGTGATGGAAAGAAGAAATAAGTCTAAATGAAATCTGTTAGATAAAAAAAAAATCAATTTAAAACTCCCAGCTTTCTTGGTTCGTAATCGAAAATATGTAATCGCACCATATAACAAATTTAGTCCAATTAAGTCCTAAAGAGCGAAACGCGTCGCAAAAAGGTTTATCCACTTTGTCATACACGCAAAATTCATCGATATCTTTTTCATACATACGGGCAATGAGGAAAAATACTGAATTCATTATGGCGCTAAACACAGTACACGACTGCATTAAGTTCGACCACGAAAAATAAACGCAATCGATAAAAACAACACTACACACTAAAGTCACCGACACTCACAACTACCGACATTTTAAGTTTTCCCACTGAAAACACCTCAAAGAGAACCTTCCCTATTCACAAGCATTTCAACTCAGGATATGTTCCAACAATGAAGAACTAACTAAACACATTGAAAATCTCGAGAAACAATTCACAACACGTTGCTATAAAAAAACATTTAATCAGGGAACAAATAAATAAAGCAATTTCCACACCGAGAGAAGACAGCCTAAAGTATAAAATGAAAATAAATCCAAACGCATCCCCTTTAGTAACCACTTTCAATACTACTCTACCCCCATTATCTCAGGTAATCAAAAGTCACTGGGAAATACTACATCTCAAACCAGACTTTGTTTAAGAAACCCGGCCTTTTAGCATATTATAAACCAAAGAACCTTAAAGAAATCATAGGTGGTAACCAAATTTCAAACAAATTTATACGTAATAGAACAAGAATGAAAACAATACGATTTTCCCAACCATGTAAAAACAAAAGTAGCCTAAGCTGTAATCACATTAAACACATTAATTCGTTCAAATACTACTTTAGTAACATTACTTTCAAAATCTACCACAGCACTAACTGCAGAAGTCATAACATAATTTACTTATTAGAATGCACACTATGCCAGAAACAATATGTAAGAAAATATGAATGGCCCTTTCACTACAGAATTAATAATTATCGGAATCAGATTAAGTTCGCTCCCCACGAAAGATTATTACCTGTAGAACAAGATTTCCGTCCAGAAAAATATAATTCTAATAGGCATGCAAAATTCACTATAATTGATAAAATAGAAATAGACAAATAACAAAGTTACGAAAATGCTAGAAGAACGTGAGGACAAATGGATTTTTTGCCTCAAAACACGTTGTCCGGACCGATTCAAAAAACCAACTAAACGACATAGATAGAACTAATATATAACTCCATTGATCACCCCCACTATTTCTCTCTCACACATTATAATCTCTATATAGGGGAATATCCTCTACTGCTGCTACGTAGAAGAGGACACCACCAATGAAGCTGACTCCCCTAATCTTTTCCACCCTCGACCATGCCAGACAAACATGCTTACAGAGGTGATGCGGTTTTCCATACACACACCCACACACACATACACAAATATATACACATGCACACTTTACGCACACTCCTCTAAAATTAAAAGTTAATATACACATAACACATCTCCTTCCCAGCAACCAATAAAGCTGTCAAAACGGCTAAAAAGGTAAATCTAAGGTTCATGATTCTCTCGACCTCTCCTTAAAAAACAACTTGAAAAATATCTTTCACCAATCCCAGAACTGAGCAGAAATTAACTATTAAAAAAAACCCCCAAAAAACAAAAACAAATAAAAACCTATACGCCTAGTTCAACTTCCATAGAGACAGTCTTTCCCCTCTGTATTTCACTGTTACTAACAAGCAAGAGTTTTTCTCTTGATGATGGCCATACTGGTCGAAACTAGTCGTGGAATCTAATTGTAAAAATAAAACAAAAATATTCATATAAAAGCCACTGTCTGAAATTTTTAATTTTTAACAATTTTATTGTTCATTATATATATATATATATATATATATATATATATATATATATATATATATATGATGGGGTGCTGTGTGTGTGAACCGTCATTTTGAAGTAGCTTTATGTCATAAATTAAGGTCACTTAAGGAAAATATGATTTCATAAGATAAAAAGCAAATTTACAATGAAGTATCCTGGAGTAGGGATAGAATTTCCATAAAAATCAGCCTAAAGACAAGATAAGTGAATATTTAATTTTATTTATTACTAATCATAGTCTGTCTCCTTCTTCGTTTCCATCTCTCTTTCCATCTTTTCCTCTTACTTCCCACCTCTCTGTCCTGGACTCTAATGGCAAATACTATACGCTTTAAAAACTGTTACGGTTCCATAAATATATATATATATATATATATATATATATATATATATATATATATATATATATATATATATATGAATTATTCACACAAAACTAATGCAAGGTTAATGATTTAAATGGCGAGACATCCATCATCGCAAACAATTCAAATAGTACACAAAAACCTCCAGATCCGTTATGAATGAATTGATCCTTGTTTATATAAATTTCTGCCGTATTAGTTGTTATTTTTACTACAAGTTTTTCGTCTGTTCCTATTGTTGGAGGTTTTTGTGTACTATTTGAATTGTTTGCGATGATGGATGTCTCGCCATTTAAATCATTAACCTTGCATTAGTTTTTGTGTGAATAATTCATGTATTTGTAAATTGATTGCACGTTTATTGTAATATATATATATATATATATATATATATATATATATATATAGTGTGTGTGTGTGTGTGTGTGTGTGTGTGCGTGCGCGTGCGTGTGTGTGTGTGTGTGTGTAGATAGATAGATAGATAGATTAGATAAATACAGAATGAAATAGATCGATTGCGAAGAAAATGTGATAGATACGAATAAATTGAGATAGATATGAACATTTTAAATAGATTTGTACAGATTAAGATCGATAGACATGAGCAGAGTGTGACACATAGATAGATAGATAGATAGATAGATAGATAGATAGATAGATATAGTTACATTAGTATTATATAAATCAACCAGAAATTGATTTGTGTTTGAGGTAGTGTCTGGGTTCGGTTTTCAAGCTAAGATAAAAGTAAAAAAAAATACCTCTCCATACATGAAAAATAACACAACATAGATATATTCTTCCTTTTTGTGCAGAGAACTCGGCTTAGCTGAATAAATATAGGATGCGGCATAAATACCTCCCACATATAACTCCAAGAAATACATCCCGCATAACGGTAATTCACTTGTGATAACAGTCTCTTCTTCTTGCTAACGTCTTACCATAATTATGCCTTATACATAGCTGAGATATTTGCCGTTTCTAATAAGCCAGTAAACGAGCCTAAGTAAAGTCAATATGTTGGATACTGATTCAGATAAAGTCGCAACCACTTTGAAAAATCGACGAAACAGTCTGGCTCGACCCAATTCCTTTAATTTTGCCTTGTGCTGTAAACAGCTTAGTCTATAAATATAGAAAGAATAAGGATATATTAAGGTCGTTTTGGTATATATGCAACAACACGATTTCAGCAGTGAGAGTCATGGCTAGCGTGATCAAAGGACCCAACTTGTACATTCAGGAATGCATGACACAACACAATGGTTGACAGCAGCCTTCCTTTTATTGGGACGGGAAACTGGAGAGACAAAGGAAGGTGGGAAAAGGAACAGGGATCCGTTATTTTCAATCTTCTAACGACATCCAAATATGAGGTAAGGCAAGAAAGAAAGCTCAAGGACAAGCGAGAATTTCGAATGCTGACTTCGAAAACAAACAGCTCTTCAACACTTGAAAAATCCTCATAACACATTCATCCTACTCATATCTATAACTCTTTCTATATATTTGTTTATTCTAAAAGTTGTATTTATTTCTTTAGGACACACACACACCCATATATATATATATATATATATATATATATATATGTGTGTGTGTGTGTGTGTGTGTGTGTTAATAAATACATATATTCCCACGTTTAATGTGCGACTCTAGTTTCGTTGAGTTATCTAACTCATCGGGGAACGATATAAAGCTTATATCTTGTCCCCGATGAGTTGGGTAACCAACGAAACACATCAAAACATAGGTATATGTATATTTATTAATATATATATCTCAGCTGTATCTAATCACATTGAGCACTATTATATCTTCACCTCTTGGCTAAATTTGGTAATTATTTAATTGCTTACCAGTGTATGCACGCCAGCACACGCGTATACGGTCACTAATTTCTCATTTACCTCACCCTATATATATATATATATATATATATATATATATATATGTGTGTGTGTGTGTGTGTTTGTGTGTGTGTGTGCGTGTGTATGTGTGTGTGTGCGTGTGTGCAGTTAAAATATTAAAATAAACCCTTTTAGGAAGCCCAAGAAAGAAATAAAGAGAGAGAGAGAGAGAGAGAGGGAGAGAGAGAGAGAAAGAGAGAGAGAGAGAGAAAGAGAAAAATGTAATGGGATAGAGAGAAAATTATCGGAAAAGTGTGTGAAAGTTTTAGATTAAAGAAAGAAGTGTTACATTGAACTGTAAAGAGAGAGTGAGAGGTAGAGACAGCGAGAGAGAACGGAGAGATAATGTGAACGAGGGAGAGGCAATAGGTATGAGAAAGAAGGGAGATGCATAGAGGACTGTAAAGAGTGGGAGAAAGGAGAAAGAGAAAAAGGGGAATAGGGACAACAGAGACAAGAGAGTGGGAAAAAGAAAGAGAATAACAGAGACAAATAACGGCGGGAGGAAAGAAAATGATAAGCAGAAAGATTAGAGAGAGAGAGAAAAGAGAGAGAGAGAGAGAGAGAGGTGAGATGAGGGAGAAAGTTGAGTATTGATAGCAAAAAGCGGACGTGTGGTCGGGGAATGAGAAGAACGACAGAGAGGAGAACGTTGAAATGAGACAGAGGTGGGGGGGAGATGTGAGAATAGATGTATAGAAGAGAAAAGCAGAAAAGAGGAGAGAGGAAGTAGAGAGACGACAGAGGATAGAACCCTCCCCCCCCAGAGAGAATGAAAAAAAACGGGGGGTAGCACGTGGAGGAGTGGGGAGAGAAAGGAAAAGGTTGGAGAAGAAAGAATAGAGAGAAAAGAAATAAAAAGAGAGAATAAAGACGGATAAAATGAGAACGATGAGAGAGAGAGAGGGGAAAGAAGAAACAGCGAAAGAAAGAAAGGTAAAATGGGGAGGAGAGAGAGAGAGAGAGAGAGAGAGAGAGTGAGAAAAGGCGGGAAATAAATAAATATGCGCAAGCCAACGAAGAGATATAAACTATAACAGCAATGATTAAAAGATAAAACAATAAATAAATAAATAAAATGCAATTATTCTCCCTTTTATTTTCACTCCCCCCCTTTTTAGTTTCTCGCTGTATTTTCCATCCGTTAAATTGTCCTACCAATGTTAGATGGTCTCCTTTTTTCCCCCCACTTTTCTCCGCCTCTAACGACGATGACGACAATGGCGGCTCCTTCCATCTTCTACGTGAAGCAATCACCAACTAATGATAAACAACCCTCCTCCTAATGCTGTCCCCACTCACCATTCTCTTGTATCTTTCAATCTTGTATCAGTTCCCCACACCACGTCACACGTATTTCACACCTGATGCTTCTGCCTCGCTCATAAGCCAGTAATTGGACAACGTATATCTTCTGACCAGCTTGGACTTTTCGATAAGAGATTTCTATTATTTGTATTGTATTAATTATGACTTTAATAAACCTCGTGTGTGCGTGAGCGTGTGTGTGTGTGCAGGGGAATATATTATCGGCTTGTTAATTTGTACACAGGGGAGTTATTCTTCTGTTAGTTTGCGCACACCAGTGTGCCGTTTGGGGCGTGGCATTTGATGGGCTACGCATGTGAAAAATTCATGTTTATTTTTAAGGTTCCGTATATTTGAATATTTATTTAGATACGTGCATTTGCGTTGGTACGTATATTATATGTGAATATCAATATATTCTATCTCTCACACTCACACACACATATAAATATTGAGACATGTTTCACTTAGTAATTTTGTCTACTTATTTTCAATTGGATCCTTTCATATTCACGGAGAAGCCTTTTGGCGGCATTATTAAAGGAAGAGAGAAAATTACTGTGTTGATACATGTTATTTATTCCGGGAAATTTCGGCATTAGCACAATGTCATCATCTCAGTGTGATCATCATAGTAATTTTCTGTTTTAATGAAACATGCCTCAATGAAAACATGCTGCCAAAATATATATATATATATATATATATATATATATATATATATATATATATATATATAGTGCGCAGGTATGCAGAAAATAGAAAAGAACACGTTGGGTGCATAATCCGGAGTTCGTTAGTATTTTTGTTTTTATTTTTAAGAAGATAGTGCTCCATACAGAAGTAGAGCTTTATTATAATAATATTTTTTGGTTTAAAAATATGATTCCTTCGTTACATAAGAGTTCTCATGTTTCAAAAACGAGAGCCGAAACCATCCAAATAGTTATTAAAATTAAGTTGAATTGAGGTGTTTAGTCCCGTTTCATCTTCAAGCGAAATTTTAGGAATAAACCTCATGCTCTTTTTTTGTTAGGTTATTCCCTCGTAGGAAGAAGTATGATTTCCATCTCATTCTTCTTATTAATCTCATTATATATATATATATATATATATATATATATATATATATATATATATATTACAAGATCATTGAAAATCCTTTTTTCTGCCACGCCTTCTTTCAATTTCAAATATTGAGATGTTCTAGTTTTGCATTGTGTAAAGCGTTAAACTGCGCGGAACACCCTGTCTTCTAATTAGGCCTGGTTTTGTCTTTCTAAGATATTTCATCGATGTTACATCATTTCAAGTTGTCCTTCAACCTATAGAACCTGATTAATTTGATATTAAACCGAAAAAAATAACTGAATATGGTTTAGGAGTAATATTTCTTAATGAAATCTAAGTGATCAATTTAATTTGAAACTATTTCTAAATGAGTAATACAGTGTAACCCGGATGTAAGAGACCCGGATATAAGAGAAACCCGGATATAAGAGAGATTTCCTCTGGTCCCAAATTAGAGCCTGTGATTAATGGATATAAAACTTTCTCCAGACCAAACTTTCTATCCGGATATAAGGGAAACCCGGATATAAGAGACTTCCCAAATTAGAGCTTGTGTTAATGTATATACAAAATAGACTCCAGTCCGTATATAAGAGATACTCTCTTAATATCCGGGTTACTATATATATATATATATATATATATACAGTGCAACCCGGATATAAGAGAAACCCGGATATCAGAGAGATTTTCTCTGGTCCCAAATTAGAGCCTGTGTTAATGTATATAAAATAGACCAAACCCGGATATAAGGGTAACCCGGATATAAGAGACTTCCTCTCCAGTCCCGACAACTCTCTTATATCCGGGTTACACTATATATATATATATATATATATATACAGTGCAACCCGGATATAAGAGAAACCCGGATATAAGAGAGATTTTCTCTGGTCCCAAATTAGAGCCTGTGTATTAATGTATATAAAATAGACCAAACCCGGATATAAGGGAAACCCGGATATAAGAGATTTTTCTGGTCCAGTCCCGACAAATAGACCAAACCCGGATATTTATATCCAGGTTACGGGTTATATATATATATATATATATATATACAGTGTAACCCGGATATAAGAGAAACCCGGATATAAGAGAGATTTTTCTGGTCCCAAATTAGAGCTTGTGTTAATGTATATAAAATAGACCAAACCGGATATAAGGGAAAATATAAGAGACTTCTCCATCAGTTCTTTATATCCGGGTTACACTATATATAGAGATATATATACAGTGTAACCTGATATAAGAGAAACCCGATATAAGAGAGATTTTCTGGTCCCAAATTCTTATATATATAAATAGACCAAACCCGGATATAAACCGGATATATATATATACTTTATATATATATATACATATATATATATATATATAAGTAAGATATAAGAGAAACCCGTATATAAGAGAGATTTTTTCTGGTCCCAAATTAGAGCCTATATAAAATAGACCAAACCCAGATTAATGTATATAAAATAGACCAAACCCGGATATAAGGGTAACCCGGATATAAGAGATATAAGAGAGATTTTCTTCCAAATTAGAGCCTGTGTTAATGTATATAAAATAGACCAAACCCAGTCCGATAACTCTTTTATATCCGGGTTACACTATATATATATATATATATATATATATATATATACAGTAACCCGGATATAAGAGAAACCCGGATATAAGAGAGATTTTCTCTGGTCCCAAATTAGAGCCTGTGTTAATGTATATAAAATAGACCAAACCCGGATATAAGAGAAACCCGGATATAAGAGACATCCTCTCCGGTCCCGACAGCTCTCTTACATCCGGGTTACACTGTATTTCCAATTCTTCAAATCTAATTAGAAACTATATCTGTTGAAAAGAGAAAAAAAGAAAAAAGAGAAAAAAAAGGGGAGTAGTAAAGATGTAAGAAATAAGAGATGGACATAGGTTTTTAAAAGAAAGAGAGGGGGAGATAAATTTGCAGAGGGAAATTAACGTATGTAGGTATGTATCGGCCAATCTGAAAAAAAAAACACAGATTTATATATTTAAAAAAAAAATCGTTTGATAGTAATTTAAGTACATTATTTACATTATTCGGACTATTGTCCTCATCTTTGTCGCCATATCTATCACAACGTTTCGGTCGTTGTACGCTCCGGACTTCTTCAGGTGGTTGGAATGTCGAACTGAACCCTTTATTTCGCTCACTAGGGTAAACTGTTCTAGTCCCACGTGCCATGTTTGATGGATGTCAGTTATCAGTTATCTCCTGTAAATTTCCCTCTGAAAGTTCTCCACTGCCTTAACCGGGTATTGAACTCACACTCTTTGGGTCCTGTCACTGGATCTAAATAACGCCTTTATCCACTGTGCCATGTGTCCTTGAGGACATTCCAACCACCTGAAGAAGGCCGAAGCGTTGTGATATATATGACGACAAAGATGAGGACAATAGTTTGAATAATGTAAATTAGGTACATAATACCTCATCTCAGAAATATAGACAGATACTGAAGAGCCGAAACGTTGTAATAAATAGACAATAGAATAATGTAAATAATGACCTCATCTCAGAAATATAGACAAATACTGAAGAGCCGAAACGTTGTAATAAATATGGCAACAAAGGCAACAAAGATGAGGACAAGAGTTAAAATGGCAACAAAATGAGGACAATAAATAATGTACATAATACCTCATCTCAGAAATATAGACAAATACGGAAGAGCCGAAACGTTGTAATAAATATGGCAACAAAGATGAGGACAATAGTTCGAATAATGTAAATAATGTACATAATACCTCATCTCAGAAATATAGACATATACTGAAAGGCCGAAACGTTGTAATAAATATGGCGACAAAGATGAGGACACTAGTTCGAATAATGTTAATAATGTACATAATACCTCATCTCAGAAATATAGACAGTAATTTAAGTATTTAAATTCTCCACAAATAAACTAGTAATTTAATTTAAACTGAATATTATATCAATAAACGAAATATAAAAAAAATAAAAGGTTACTAATATTAATATTTCTAATATTGTGAATAACGGTTAATATTTCTTAGTTGAGTCTAAGTCTTCAATTTAATATCAAACTATTTCTAGATGATTAATATTTCTTAATTGAAGTCTAAGTTTTCAAATCTAATTTGAAAACTATTTCAAGATGAAGTAGGATTTGAAGTTGATAATAAAAGAATTTACTGTCTTTACACTTAATCTATCTATCTATCTATCTATCTATCTATATATATATATATATATATATATATATATATATATATATATATATATATATATAAAAAGAAAGAGGATGTAGTGGTTCCAACGAGAGAAAAGTATGTATATTAAAAAGAAGAGAAGAGAGGTGCCGCAAACGTTTTTGGTTGTAGTGTGGATTTATTTAGAAAATATATTATGCTTTGTTTTCCATAATTTTACTACACGTGTTTCTGGTCTCGTGACCGTCTTCAGGTAAAAGAGGAGATTTCCACATATTATTGAAAATAATTAATTTTTTCTTTTGTTTTTCAATGTTAGATATTCTCGATATGAGACATTTTCTGTGTTAGTAATCCGAATTTCTTTCTTGAATTGGATAACTATCCACGCATATATATATATATATATATATATATATATATATATATATATATATATATATATATGCATATATACCTGATACATATCTTCATACACACCACATACATATTTACGTAAATATATATCCGTTTACATATACAGATACATATACAACCACGTACACATTTTTCGATGCACATACAATACATACATAACCTTACAGATACACACATACATATATATATTTACATGTACATATACATATTTACACACGCATCCAT